CCAGTGCTCGGAAGGAAGCGGACCCCAAAAAGAAGTCAGGGCATGTGAACTGCAAAAGGACCCTCAAGCCCAAGCGTTGAGGCCCGTTTTCTCAAAACAAGGAGGTCAGGCGCAACAAAATATGCGTTTTGCAAGAGGTAACTTTGGTGATTTTTTGTGCTTGGAGGAACCCGCAGAAAAATATGAAATTTTGAGAATCCATAGATAAGATGGTTTTCTTTCGAGGAAAAATATCAGCACATTTTCAAAAAATCATTTCGATCGTGAAATAATTGTTGTGTCGATTCGGCACATTTTTCATTTTTGTCACTCAGCCATATGTGGACCAACTAAAAAGATAATCACAATTCAGTGAGTTTTCGCGCTTAGAAGAATGCGTGAAAAAACTTAAAAATTGGAGTACTCGTAGATTTTATTGTGATCTTTCCAAGAAAATCGGAAATAAATTTAAAAAAATCATTCCAGCTGTGAAAATAGATCGTGGCCACAATATGACCCATATTTCAATTTTGCCATCCGGTCTCCTCTCTCTCTCTCTCTCTCTCTCTCTCTCTCTCTTGTGTGCGCCCTTAGTCCCATCCCTTTGGTTACCTTAGGGCTACGTTCCCCGCGCCCATGCGGTAGTCAATGTGTGTGTGTGTGTGTGTGTGTGTGTGTGTGTGTGTGTGTGTGTGTGTGTGTGTGTGTGTGWGAGAGAGAGAGAGAGAGAGAGAGAGACAAATAGAGAAAAATGTTAGTTGGCATAGACAACGGGTAGATGTGTTTGAATCGGGCGCTGATTGACTCCAGATCTAGGCACATCTACTGCAAGTGTCATCTCGACTTGCATCGAGGAACACTTTCTGGACCACGGGCAGTTGCCCTTTCTTGCGCGCTTTCGGACTTCTCCTCTTCCCTGACTTGGTGCCCCTACCCCCACGCCGTTTCCATTTCAAAATTTACAATTGAAGGACTGCTCAAGGATTGCGGCCTCCTGAGGGCAGTTACTAGGCCCCACATGCACCCGTTCACGGCTACCTGGGCCATTGACCTGACATATCCAATTGACTTACCGTGAGCTCACGGGTGCGCAACCCGTAGTTTGTATATGCTTGATTGATAAAGGACGCCTTATTGGGGAGGTTTAGAAGTAGGGTGATTGTTGCATTAAAAAAAAAGGAGTATTTGTGTGTATGTGTTGAGATTAGTGTGTGTGTGTTTGTGTGATACTTAGGGTGTTTGTGTTTATCACATCTGTTAGTGTTGGAACGTGTGGGATTTAGGTAATTTGTATGGCATTAGTGTATTAGATATTTGACATTCCTTGATTCATAGTTCGCGTCGAGGCTGGTGGTCCTTGAATCTTGGTCCATGTGTCGTATATGGGCGTCGTTCAACACTCCTTATCTCGTCCTCGGGCTTCGAGGACGAATCCTCGGAGTTTTTTTTTTTTTTTTGAGGTGTCGTTCCACCTGTCCTTGGAGAATCGCCCCGAGGACGAATCCTCAGGGCCCTCCCGCGGCCAGTTTCATTAGATTATACACAGTCGCGAGGGGATTGTTTGACTTCCGATTCGGGATGTCCGTGTAGGAGGCGTGGCGGTCCAGCAGGCGGACGATGACAATACGTTTCGGGCCCCTGAAAAAAAATCGCCAACGTGGGAACGGCCCCGTTCAAAATTCGAAATTCAAATTTGCGTCTTGCGGAGCGACGGTGTGGCGACGCACAGGAGGGTAGGCGAGGGGGGCAGTGTACGCCTCGTAGGGTTTTGGTTGCCATCGCGTTGCGTACTTTAGCGGCGCCGCACCGCCACCGTCTCTAGTCTGGTCGACGAGGCGAAACGAAGAGGGGTATCGGCAGTTGCGCTCGCCACGTGGAGGCGCTCGGCGGTTCCGTACTTCAGCGGCGGTGGGCGGACGCTCCAATCGGGGTGGAACATCATTGAGCACGGTTGTCTTCCTGACCTGATTGCAGACGTCTTCAACCGTGGTGGCAGATGTAGACGCAGGTGGTGGCGGTGGACGGTGGAAAGCGTGCAATCTCATTGTGGAGTATAGAGAAATACATGAGAATAGCTGGACTGACCGTTCCGTCTATTGCTGGGGAGCGTCACCTGCAGGGAACCGGGTCCAGCGTCCCATATATACATTGTGAAGTATAGAGAAATACATGAGAATAGCTGGACTGAGAAAAAACAGAGACCTGCATGGCTGCCTCTTAACCCTTGACGAACTAGGACGATCTGTACACATGCGGATTTCAGGGCGATCTGGAAAAAGGGGCCTTATACAGAGAGAGAGGCCTGTGTAAATGAAGTTGCCTTTTTTTTTTTTTTTTTAAATCAAGTTGCCTTTTTTTTTTTTTTTTTTTTTCTTAAACCAAGTTGCCTTCACTGCTGGCCCTGTTATGCTTCACAAATGGGTTGC